GCTTAGTGAAAATCTTATGTTTGTGGAATGGACGTTCCCTTACATTATCATTTGTTGTTTTAAACCATTGTTATAACTGCCAATAATATCCGATTACCAGCAAAGCAATTTTAATCTTTCATCGCCGAAAACTGTTTTTTGTTCATTGTTCATCACTGATCTGCAAATCTCGCAGTATTTTCGTTCTGCTGACCATGGTGTCATTAATGTTATGAATGTGTTAAGATCTTCATCACTGTGTTATAGAATTGCGACAAGTATAGTATATGTATATCATCATTATGTCGTGTATTTCCATCGTTACGTCGTAGTTGTATTTAACTTCATCACTCTAATGAAAGTCTTCATCATGTTGTACATTTTAGTCATGGTAACATATTTTATTTCTGTGTTGTAAAACCACACCACTGCAATGTACATATTCATTATTATGTCGTAAAAAATTCCCATTGGGAAGTAGACCTTTAACCCTTTAACGCATTTCATCATTAAGTCGTAACATTTCAATTCTGTAGCTTAGATCCTCATCATTATGTTGTAACTATTAATTCGGTCGCCATAGATATTCATCACCGCCGATACCAAGACAAGTTTAAACTTCAGACGTTCTGAGGGGAGGCACTACTGTCATTTGTTAATGGTATTTTCCAACTAATTTTGAGTCCTACCCTCTTCAATAATTTTCATTTTAACTTTTCCTTCCGAAGTTCATACATATTGTAATTATCATGTATTATATATTGTATATATCTATTGTCCTTTTCCAACATATCATGAACTACATAAAGGTTTAAACACAGAGCTAAAACCTATCGCCTTTTCTTATTATTACAATGGTGCGTTTAAGAAGATTCTGCTAATGAAGACACAAAATTGCCCAGATCAAAATCAATTTAACAATACAAAAACTGTTATTAGCATATTAACATCAAATCTGTTGTGTATCTTGATCTATGCTACATTAAGCTGTATTGAGACTATTACGGAAATCATAGCTTATCATTGTTGCTACGTGTTTTATTTATTGTGTACAAATTAATTATGCAATCGCAACTCAACTGCTTTGTTTCCTCGGGATTGTGTAATCAAAAAAAAATCGATACATATTTGATAAATATTGCTATCATTAGTTACAAAATCAATCATCTTTTGTCATTTATTAACTAAATACAGGTTTATTTATTTTCCTGTGGAAGATGACAAATATCGATATTTCTCATGAATATGAAGCAGGGCTAACATGGATTTTCCGTTCATATCATTGATATCAGAAAAATATATATATTACATTTAACTGGTTAATTTTTTTTCTTTTCTTACATTATAATAATTTTTAAAAACAATATGGCAATGATAGAGACGTGACATCCTGACATCAGAACAGCGCCATATTGAACTAGTTAAATGTGAAATTGAAAGAATAACATTGATTCAACGTTTGCTCCCTATAAATCTTTACAGAGGAATGGACTTATTTCAATACGACAAATAAACACACTGTTCATGTTTATCCTAAAGGTATACATTTTACTTAATTTTAATTAAGGTAGTGATATGAACATTTATGGAACAACATTTTGTAATATTCGCCCATAAAACTGTGGAAATATAATTACATTTACATATAATGCTTTAACTATGCTGATGTTCTATGTAATGTTTACAACCATGAGACACTAACACATTTATCAGTGTTCTACATATCTGATTAGTTTCTGTGAAAATGTTGTGAATTTTAATAAGAGTGTTTAAAAGACACAAATGAATAGCGCTTCCAAATACAAAATAATGAATTAACCTGCATCACACAGCTGTTTCGTCCTTCTAGAACCCGTTAGTAATCCCAGGGGCCTAAATTAACCATAAATGTTATCCACCTAGGACGGTACAATTTGCTTTAAATATATAAGGCCTTTCTTCAGAAAGTGTCGTCCTTGTATGAAATGCGTGACAGAGAAGTTTGCACAAGATTTTTATGGCATTGGTATGAAATATTGATGATGCATTGATATTATTGAATGTATATGCTATTAAACAGACCGATTACTTTCGTTTCGTTTTATATTTAAGTGTTGGAAAACATTTTATATTATCTTCAAATGATATTGCACAAGTATACCTAATTAGGACTTATAATCACACATGTCTCAGAAATGTGTATTTTGTTAAGATTTCGGTAACAAGTGCTTCTTAAACACATTTAAATTATCATAAATCACTGATATATTATGTATGACGTCAGTGTCCTACCCGACTAATGTCTGATTATTGTATCTATAAGTCAAGACGTCCAGTGTCATCTTGCTCCATGGTTACTGGAGCGTATATGCTGGTTACCGTGGTTAGGGGCATTGGCAACATCATTTGACAGTGCATTTATTAATGTTTAACACAATGCTATTCACACTTCAATCTTTTCCCCCTTGAACGGCGCTGATGTTTGACGTATCACAATGATATATTGCGAAGTTAATGAATTCGGTTTAAGATTTGTCTCAATTATTCATAAGCGTTTGGATCTAATAGTTATTCTTATTTGGTAAGAAAATGATTATAAATGACAACGAAGCTCATTACTCTGTCGTTTTTAGGGTCAGAACACAAATGACATTTTCGCAAGAATTTTATGAGAACAATTTGGATCGTCCCTTTTCTCCATAGTAAGAAAATAATCTAAAGAAATTGTCGACGTTTAGCATGAATTTGTTTTATTCTCTCCTTTTAATCATCACGGAAACCTCAACATCTCCCATATCGTTGTGTTACCGTCACATTGTCTGTTTCATCACTACCATCAACTGAATGTGTGTTTCCAGCAATTATTTTTGTTGGGAGTCCGTTGCTAGCAATTTGGAGTTATGTCGACGTAAAAAGTTTTGTATATACGTTTTAGGGGTTTTCCCCTGTAACAGTATGCCTTTACGAGGGCAAAGTTAATTAGCTGAGCTGGCGTAGTGATGAAGACATCACGTGATGCCCTACAAGTGAGACAATGATTACACAATTTATGTAGGTCCTCGCTCTGATATATGCTGTGGAGTTTCAACATTTGATATCATCTTCTCTAGATAAGTCCAAATATGTTGAATCTAAGGAAACTATCTTTAAATTGTTTTCTATTTAACGAAAAGTAATTATATTTCTTAGAAAATATTTTTCTTTCATTCACAAAATATAGTAAATATCATATTCAATTTCTATCAAAACGCAACTATTGAATAGTTGATGATTATGTTTAACTCCACAATTGTAACGAATTCAACCCGTTTCCAAAAAGATGTCGATAATTGCCCATATAAAACTGGTAAAATTCACTTAAGTGATACGACAACGTTGTCAAAATATTTGTAAATATCTACACGGAGTTTATTGGATAAATCCGTGTGTTAGCAGAAAGAACATTTACAATCGTGTCTCCTTCTCGAGATTCAAACATATAACTCGGTGATGATACATTTTTGTGCTATTAAATAGATTATTACTTTATAAAAAACCTCACAGATTTTAACTATATGTTGTATTAACTCTGCAGTGTTACTTTATGTTTTGTATGTGTGTGTGTGTGTGTGTGTGTGTGTGATTTTTTTTAAAGAAAAAATACTTAACGGAAATTAAGGCAGATAGTTGATGTCATCATACAATTTATATCATAAAAAAGCATCCAGTTAAAGTTTCATTACCATGTCTTCTTCAGCCGTTTTCTTTTGAAAGCGACACTATATCCCCGTCATCGTAACGAAACTGTGGGAAAACATATTTGTTGATATTATATCACAGTTTACTTCTATTGAATTTGGTTATTCAAATAGATTGCTACGTCGATAGCATTATTCTGCTATCTCTATGGAGCATCTTTCATTACATATACAAGAGAATGGCATTATGTTTCCCCTACAAATACGGCTATATATATATATTGTTATGCTATTTTGTCAAAGTAATATTTCAGGCTATTTATCAATGAGGTGTATTAAACTTAAATATACTTGACAAAATTTAATCATCGTATATACCTCGCTACAAATGTTAAAGAAAATATTTTTAGTATTATTTTGAACAGCATTTGTCGTCTCGTACTTTGTTTAACACGTATTCGTTTTATACCTGATATTAGTTCTGATGATTGAGACGTAATGATGAGTTATTGAGATAACATTAAATTATCTTTATTAAAAAATTGTATGATAAAAAAAATTGACTTCTTGAAAATCTATATATATCAAAGTTTATAACAAGTACAAATTATCAAAAATATTTTTGATAAACACAAATAGTGTTTCAGTGATTATGAAGGAATATTTTTATATCAAACATCAAACAGTTAAACAGAATGGGTATGAATAGAACATAATGAAATTATATGTTTGACAAATAAGATGTGAATTAATTAATACTTTAGTAAAACATGATCTCCCTTTATTGGCAAAACCTATATTTGAAAGCATATGATATATGTGTATTTCTTTATCAAACATATTTCATGTTGATACAACAAAACGATTGCTGCTTTATTTGTACTCGAACCAGTGAAGCTACCTGGAGTTTCCTGATCGGTAAAGCCTAACAATCACAGTGTATACAACTCAGATGTGTGGTTCCGTGAACAAATCGGAATTGTTTGTAAACAAAGCTTGAACAGGGATAATTATGCTTCTCTCAGATTCAACGTCGACAGGTGTAAAAATGTCCTACCGTGTCGACCGTCGGTGAAATTCTTAATTACTGCACACAGAGTCACAGAGAATAGCCGTTTTCTCTGCCGAACAGACAGATCGATAACATCATGAATATTCAATTAGGCAAGTCACGTGCTTCCCAAGTGGTAGTTTTCAAAGTGGTTCGACCAATTGGGTATGACAAGTACTATTAAGAATTGAGTTTCCACTGAAAAACCAAATTTGGCCTCTCACAGTGAAAAGTTGGCGGACAAGTGGGGATTTAAGCCATATCCCAACCGGATAAAATAGAATTATTATTTATATATAATAATTCATTTTACTATGGCTACACTTGCTGAAATTTCTCCACAAAATTCTGGTTTTCATTCGGAGAGTCCAGGAAGCCCTAATCCGAGGATGTTGACGGAAATGATCAGCAGGAACAAGTTTTTGGAAGGTACGTGCATCTCTGTATTGATTGTCCGTTTTAATATTTCAATATCAATCAGTGGGTGAGTATCTGATTTATTAGGCAGGGGCTATCACGGGCAGAATCAAATTAATTTTTCTCCTTAGCATAAATTGATATTACATCCCTAACTCTATATGATTATTTAGGTTATTTGGGGGTAATTAAGTTTATTGGGTAGCGACCAGATAATCTCTGTGAATTAAAACTTGGCGAGGCGCGACATTTGATTGTAGGTTGATTGTATGTGATTAACCGAGTTTGATTACTGGGACGGTTAACCCGTACGGGGACAGACAAATTTAATCTTCTCCAACTATCGATGGAATTCAAAACTAATTTAACAATAAACACATCTATAACCCCAACACATCATGCTACTTCACTTACGCCGTATACAATATCTCCAGTATGATTAATGTCGATTACATACGTGAGATTTTCATGAGTTTTTAATTAGAGGTAATTGTTTTGTGTGCAGAGCTATATGGAATGAGACGCGCTAGTATGCATTCAATTCTTGAAGGATGCAACACGGATTTATATCTCTGTAAGGTTTATGTTGGATGTTAGTATTTGTAATGGATAATGATTTAAAGGTAAGTCTAAAATTAACGTTATAATTATTATCTCTTCTGAATTAATTTTGTAATCATCCATTATTTTTTATTGATTAATATTTTTACTTATTTGGCTAGTGCAAAATAAATATACAGTAGCTGTGTTATTTCTTACGAATGAAAATCGTGTGGAAATAGCGTATTGATATACAAGACAAACTATTCATTTTATAAATACTGTCACGTTTCCTTTTTTTCCTGTTTTATAAAACACCGTTATCTTTTATCGAGTTTTTTTTTTATATTAACTGACATTTGATTCTAATGTCAGAAATACAACAACAACGGGCAGAATTGTAAATCTGACAGATGAATACTTGGTCGACCAGGTAACTTCCATCTGTCGTTGCTGTCACTCTACTGCCCCGGGTTACAGCCTTTCTCTAATACTCTAATACACCTGTTCAACAGCCAAATGATACTACTGAATAAAGTGAATATCGTCCCCACTTAAAAATAAAATTATCTGATAATACTTCGGAGCCCTTACCCGTAGTGCACAAATATACGGCTTATTACTATTCCTGGAATGTGTGTTTGTTTAAGAAGTGTTCTCCCTAAGATAAAATAGGGTTCATTAGAAATAATCTTAAACCGTGTATCTTAACACAACATTATATTGTAGTGTGTTTTTTTGGTATAAAATAATGTACATTTTACTTTGGTATTAATACTTACATATATGTTTCTTAACTTTTAAATATATTATCTTATATCAATATTCTAGATATCACAATATACTTTGCGAGATATTATATTTATTTTATTTTTTCGTTTAAACATATATTTCAACAAACGAACTTCTTTGAATAATAAGATATCTGTGTTTATTTATTTTGTCCTCATTTTTTTGTAATAGTAATGGATCTGTGCATTTGTCCATCTGTAAACTAACCGCGATCACGTGGTGTGAGATCAGAAAGACCACTTGAGACAGGTGGTAAAATCTAAAACAACACGATACCTGATAAGCTGATTATGTTTCGATACCATGAATACAAAAATTCTTTTATAAACGGGAACATTTCTCTCGAGATTTAATAGAATTAGATACTTCAACGAACAAATATTGATAAACAAAAGAATGAAGTATCACACGTTTTCATGTTTTTGTTTACATACAGTTAATGAATGCAAACAAAATATTTTCTAAATATCATAAAAGTACATCTAGATAAAAAATATATTCTTGTCATATTACATAACACTGCTGAGTAATCTTGATAACATTTGGCAGCTGGCGACTTACCAATATTCGTTTGTCACTTTTAGCATTAAAGTATAAAAATGTGTTGATTTATCTATTATTTTTTTGCTTTCAATTCATCTTTTAAATGATCTAGTGATATAGTGCAAAACAAATGAACCTGATGTCAGATTCGATATATAAAACAAAATATTTTTGCCTGATGTATAACATGAGAATGGTGCAAAATGTAATGAACAAAAAGCATTTGGTTATTATATTCTGAAAACTGTTTAAATTCTAAATATAGTATTTCTTTATAATAACCGCAGTCACAACGCAGTATTTTATCTTACCATGCATCTGAACCCTTTCCCTCACAGAGAACTGTGTTTTTGTAATCTGCTTAAAATCTGAATGGATTCCACTTTTATCGCATTTGACAGGTATGTCGCGTAATCTGTCATTTCAGAGAAAAATCGAATTCATATCGAGTAAGGCACGCATATTGTGTCTCTGACTTTGACTAGTGTTCCGTGACGGCACATCAGTGGTTCGCACGTGGCTACTTTAACATACGTCATCCATGACGAAAACTACACCTGCTCTAGAAAAAGCGACTCTAAAAGCGAACACGATCGGCAATATTTTCAGGACCAGTGTCCTTTCATCTGACGGCTGCTGATACAAAACAAAATCATAAATTCATAGATCAGATTTTGAAAAAGTTATTGGCGTATCATTCAACCACTGACAAACTTACAAATTAATGAATATCATATGTCAGTCAAAAATACGAAGCTCGCCTTTGATATAGATAATCAGTAAAGTTATTACAAGAAACAGGAATCTGTTTACAACTTCTAATCTATTTATCTAATAAAATGTAAAACAAAACAAAAATATTCAATTAAAGACTCAATTCCCGTCACCTTAACCAGATAATGATATGTCATGAAACTTTAAATATTGGCATTAAGTGTAGGTATCCTATCAAATCAAAATTTCCAACTGCATTATTCTGCATCAATTTCAGCTCTGAATAACTATTTGATAGCTAAGAATATTTAACTAGGCACAAAATTATCACACAAAGGATAGAAATGATAAGTTCTTTGTGTAGCAATATTATATCATCTACCAATGTATTTGATTCAAAGAATCTTAAAATCTAGAATATTTTAGAAAAGATGCACAGATATCGTGACATCGTCACAATAAACGACAGTAGATTACCGTAGATGTTATAGGTGATCTATTGTCGACAAAATTTTATGGATGGTGCAGATGTTGTAGGAATATGGAAGGAACCGCAATATTTAGAGTAGGTCATTGTACTCTCTTGAATTTGAATAGAATTTATTATTACAGGCCTACAAGTAAATTTTTCTTTCATTGTCAAATGACCCATTGAGCAACACTTTCGTATCAAAATAATGCCGTGAAAATATTGAACATCAAGAACATTTAAAAAGAATCTTTCGGTACTAAAGAAACTATTTCCGGTTTGTCTTAATAATGTAATAACTGTTGCATTGAAAAATATAGTAACATTTCGTTGTACTGTTTAATATCTAATGATTAACCGAAACGTAAAATTTTTAACTTGATACACAAATTTTCAGTAAATAAATTCATACATTTTCCTTTAACTATTGGGAAAGTTTAAATGTTGTGTATATAAATATTTTTCTATAGGAATTAACACGTCCTAATAGGAAGCTGTATAACGGAGTTCATTACATTATTTTGTATAGAAAGATCTGATTCTTTGATGTGCCTTTTGCACACCCCATTTGCTCATCTATCTTCTGAAAATTTTAGAAATCAAATAATATGATTCTGGTGTTATATAACTAACCTGAAACTGATCTAAGATATTGAAATGGGATGTAGGCGAATTGTATGTAAGAAAACTGCTATAATCATTTTGATAGTGTTATATGTCTTTCCGTTCAGCAATGTTCTATTTTTTATTCAACATTGTCGTATTTTTAGAAGTAATGGTGTAATCGCTTATGTTACTTTCTTTTATAACACGGCAACAGATATTCGGAAAATGTTCAAAGATCATATATTACCACTGTATACATCCAGGATAATGGTACTCTATAAAGCTTTATATGATTATGTTAAGTCGTTTACGTACTATAGACTACGGTGATAGCTAACAAAGTTAGAGGTGTTATTTTTCTTTCTACGTGGTATTTTTTCATCATCAATATCGAAAGATTCGTAACGTGTATGATTTAGTTTAATAGCATTCTTTATTTGTTGACAAATAACATCACATGCAGTTTCTTTATAGTACTCCTGTCAGTTTGTACAATTGTACAGATAGGAAATATTATACGATAAATATAACACTTATGTGTATAGAATATATCACACAGTTGATATAACACTTATCTGTATAGAATATACCACACAATTAATATAACACTTATCTGTATAGAATATACCACACAATTAATATACCACTTATCTGTATAGAATATACCGCACAATTGATATACCACTTATCTGTATAGAATATACCGCACAATTAATATAACACTTATCTGTATAGAATATACCACACAATTAATATACCACTTATCTGTATAGAATATACCACACAATTAATATAACACTCACCTGTATAGAATATACCACACAATCAATATAGCACTTATCTGTATAGAATATACCACACAGTTGATATAACACTTATCTGTATAGAATATACCACACAGTTGATATAACACTTATCTGTATAGAATATACCACACAGTTGATATAACACTTATCTGTATAGAATATACCACACAGCTGATATAGCACTTATCTGTATAGAATATACCACACAGTTGATATAACACTTCTTTTGTATAGAATATACCACGCAGTTGATATAGCACTTATCTGTATAGAATATACCACACAATTAATATAACTATTCGTCTACAAAGAAAACACCATGCAGTTTATATAACACTTCGTCTACATTTTTTAAAAACAAATCCATGTTGCTTGTTGCTTTCTATCGGCAGTTTCTATCCGTTATCGAGATGATAAATAGTTAACAGTATTCCGAATGGAGAATAACGTTGTAGTCACCCTGTGACCTATAACAACATAAGACGGTCCCCAGGCGGCGATGCCCAGATATGAGTGACGAGATAGGAAGACACGTAATTGGC